AGTGGTGATAAAATCCAGATCTCTTAAAACAACCAAAGAGAGACACCGAATCTGCTCTCAATCTCGCTCAAGCAAGAATTGAAAGAGCAAGGCTTATTGAATACTTTTCTGACAAATGTGTAGGTTAAAAAATAAAGTTGGAGATCGTGACAAAAAAAGAAAAAACTCTCATAGAAGTTAGCATTCTTCCAAGAAATACATATTTCTCTGTACATCTAGTGTTTATGCCAAACAAAACCATTGGAAAATGACTCAAATCAAAGGTAGCCCACATCACAGATCTCTAAGTAAGTTCTGTCTGTAAGAACTTATCGGGTTTTGATGATTTGTGGAAAGTTTTATTAATACTTTCTTGAAGATTTTATGACTTGGAAAATGTAACTTTCAAGAACATTTCTGCTGCTTCCATTCCCATTCAAGTCTCTAAATCAAAAATATTGTAGAAATAAGCTTTGCCTTAAAAATCCTTTGCATATGTAACTGATTATTTGATATTTAAAAGCTGCGTATATTTTATTTCAGAAAAAATTTCAATATTCCCCTAAGAAATTGAACATCCAGAAATATTTATAAGGAAGAAATACTTTTAAATAGTATTAAAAGTAATTTGGCCATTAAAGAATATACAGAAATTTGAATATTCAAATGGGGGTAAAACACATTCAAGATAAAGAATTCTACTAAATATTTACTTAAATCCAAATAATTAATGATCAAGTTAAAACTACCACATTTTATAAAAAACAAGGTACCAACCATTATGACATTCAAGTAACAGAAAACTTTATGTGAAACTTTATCAAGTTAGTAAACACTGGTAAATACCTTTAAATTATGTTTTTATTTAACACTTTGCTTTAAGAGTGAGTGGGTATTAGTTTCAATTTTTAATGGAAACTTTTGATTTCTCCTAATTCATGGAGAAGATATGTTTCTGTATAGTATATCCATGACTTAAGATGGTAATGGTATTTTCTGCAGTTTTCATTTTATACGTCCAGTCAATTCTGACTTAGAAACATAACTTTTTACTTCAAGGGGAAAAGAAAATTGTATGCATCATAGAATTAGTAGAAAAAAAAAGATTTCAAAGCCACGGTAAGGCTTTTTTGTATGTCTAAATCCACTATACTTGCTAGAATACTTAGTATTTTAAAAACATTGCTAATTTTTCACTTCTGACAAGAACTGGTGTCAAAATGAGGTGAGTATGGTCTTAAAGTGAATATTTCCTCACTTGAATTTAATGGTATCAATATTATTCTTTAGGAAGATATTGACTCAAAATGAATTAATTTCATGATCAATTTTGAGAGGTACAAGAACTTTCTTTTTTGGCACAATCATAATATTATCATAGCAATTCAGATTGTCAGTAAAAGCTTAAACAAATTTGCTGATAATCCTGTTAATGACCTAGGTCAAGTGTTAACTGTTGTGGGTTATAAAGCAGTGAAATTAAGGTTTCTCCTACCTCCAGGCAAACACCACAGCTATAACTATTGGGGGTGGGTGGAGGGGCAAGCTATTAGGAGAACTATTAAATTACAGAAATGCATAATGCATTCAATTATTTAGTCTAGCATGAAGAAATGCTATTAAAAGCAAATGTAAGCCTTCTTTGAAAAAAAAAAGAGCCCATAAAGATGACATGATAGCTTAGCTCTTTGTTAATGTTTCAATCACAGGGAGTTTTTATTTGAGTGTGGGAGTTTATAGGCATTGAAGGTAATATCGATTCTGAGTAACGTTTACAAAGAATACATTTATTATTTAAATATTTATTGTGTCAAAGTTTGCCTACTAATCTAAGAAAAGTATGTGGCATACATCTGCAAGTTTTACTTCTAATCTTCAAACACTCACATAATGGTGTCTTATACTTAGCAGAGATTTCATAGACAGTGCTATAGCCACTCAGAACAGGGTATCCCAATGAGAAGGATGTAGGTATGTAGACAGAATTTTACTGAACTTTACTTTAAAAACTCTCATTTTCAGTGTAAAGAGTGCATGGTTAAATGTGAATCCAATTTGTGAGGACTGTTGGATGGAAAATATTGCATATAATATTAAATAAACTGTGCATTCTGCTCAGACTGCTACAAATATTTGTGAATAAAGAGTACTTCATGCAGTTCTAAAGTTGGCTGAACTAATAAAGGTCAATCACTTTTCTCTGTATCAAATTTTAGCTTCTTTCCAAACTTACTGCTCACCATTCTGAGTCCCTGGAAGATGGAAACAGAGTAAGCACACGGAACAAGCATGGGATCTATCCTGATAAAAACCAGTGCAGTTCTAATTTTGCTTTGAAAAGGAAGTGATTTCCCACTCGAAGTCTCTTGTGCCATGTGAGTGGAAAGAACTGATCACAGATAGCAAAGTCTTTACTAACTTCTGTGTAGGTCTTCAGGCCAGGTTTTAAATGGTCCTCCAAATCACACATCTCTATTAACATTCAGAAGACCAGGGAGAGAAAGTGGAAGCTGGAATTACTTTCTTAAAAGCATGTTAGAAAGTCACTTTAATTAACATATGGGTTGGAAAATTCACACCAAACTCAAATTATTTCTTTACTTTAGATGCATGGAATTTCAATAGTTTTATTTAGTGATCTCAATTTTTGTTTAAGCTCTCATAAAGACAAGTTCCTTAACAATCAGCTCAATTGCCTGGTTTTGTTCTACCATTTCCATCATGTTTAATTCCATGATAGGAGAATGTATTCTAGTAGTAAAATTGATGAGCTGTAGTAAAATTTTTGTAGTATTAAAACATAGTTTTCAACATACTATTTTAAGCATAATCTATCCTCTCAGGTATCTTCAGTCTGCAAAATGAACTGGTTCAATTTATCTTAGCTCTACCTATGAACCCAGATTACTTTGTTAGGGGAATTGCATAGACATTGTGGCATAGATTTGGAATTTTCCCTCTCCGTAGGACTCAATTGCTAAGAGCCAAGCATGTGAATAAATATTTAAAGTATCATTGAAGTATTATCTAACTGAAACTATTGATCATAACTTTTGTTTTAAAGTCATAGCAGCCTCATAAAGAAAATGAGACAGTAGCCTTATAATACTGTCTGAAAGACTAATCCTGTGAACAATAGACACATAAAAACTTTCGCAGAAGCAAATTAAATGATATTTTATGAGTATTTTACCAATATATATGTATATTGTTAATTTGTACCCGACTGTTGACATACATTATGCAATCATACATACATAAATGTGGTTTAAAGGCAATTAAGATTTAATTATACTTATTTAATTAAATTAATATGCATTGTTTTTGTGTGTGAATAAGGTTAACGGTATTTTATTTTGCAATTTAAATAAAGCTTAAATTGATATACAAATATAATTTCATCTGGATCCTGTTCATCACTAAGTCAGTCAGATCATCGTGTGGATAGTTTATATGCATTCCATTTTGAAAGATACAACTCATCAAAACAATGTGGCAGTTATATTGTTTTCTAGTAATTATTGGTGATTTCATATATTTGGAAAAATAGTTGAAAACTCTTTAGCATGTTGTGTTACTCATAATCATATGATGGCTCATGCCTATTTTCTTCATGAAGAACGATAAAGCATTCATTACTTTCAAATGAATATTTTAATTTGTGTTACTAAAACAGTTATTTGAGCAAAAGATGATTTTCCCCGTCACCGCGATGAAAATAAAATTTATTTATGTTTTGAAAAATCAGACAAAACTAATAAAATCTGCTAAATTAATAAAGACAGTCAAGGCACTAGGAAAGAAAATTAAACCATCCCATTAACAGTAAAAGTAGGTCATCAAACACTTGAAGCAGTCTTTGTGCAGAATGTGCTTACACTTTTTCACATGGACGTAAAAATAATGCATAAACATTGCTCTACAAGATATTTTTAAGTGAGTCTTGTACACCTAGTGTGCTTCCTGCCCATCAGCTGCTCTCTATTGTTAACTTGTTCAATTCTAAATGTTCAAAATCATTAGGAGGAAAATAAAGTTGTACGTGTTGCTGCAATGCAATCAATTATTCTGAAAAGTTACGTTTTAAGAGTTTGTATTCACAAACCATTAGTACCAGATCGTGAAAAGTCCACAGAAACGGGTGATGCGTCTGCTCCGTCCACACAAAAACAAATATTCTCAATATTAGGTTTACACTTTGAACCACTGAAAAGCCAGGGATGCCCGTTACACGGACAATAATTAATCCAACATCAAGGAAATGCCGTTAGCTGCCCATGAGCGGTATTTCTAATTTGCTATTCAGTTATTTACTGTATCCGCCCAGGAGCTATTCATCAATCAATCACTAAACGCCTTCTGCTATTTGTACAAAAGTCCTTCATTTAGAAGAACCCAGCTTAAACTCACTTATATCCGTGCAAACATCCCTGCTGTTAATGTGGCATGCATATGCTGCCCATGGAACCTGTATCGCTGAGCACAGCATCGCCCGGCGGGATCCACATCACTTCAGTAAGGCGGTTGTAACATAAACATACGCACACACGCGCGCACACACGGATCCAAAGAGCCCCTTTCCCTGCAGTCCATTCATAAATGCCAAATTCTCTAAGTAGGGGCAACCTGTCATTATCTTTAAAACACACGGCGGGGACTAAAGAGATGACTAGCCTTTTCTTTGAAACTTCTCAGAAGACCACATGGTCATAATTAGAAAATAAAATAGTGCCTTGGCTATTTGGCAATTAACAGACTGGGTTGTAAAAGAACGGAGGGTTTTCTTTCTTTCTGCTTCAAATTGGTAAACGTGGTAATCGCTTGAGTGGCTATCAGATTAAAAACAGATTTTTTTTTTTTTAACGGTTTCCACAATCCCAAATCATTTCCCCCAAAGTATATTGGGACCGCTACTGGGCAAAGACCATCTTTCGCTGCCTCTGGCTCTGAAGGCACCTCGGGGGGCAGAGGGGTGCAGGGGCTGCGGGCTCCGCTCCGGGCAGCGCGGGTACCTGGCTTACCTTCGTTGGAAGGCTGTGGGCTCGGTTCCCCGGAGCAGCTGAGGACGCAGCAGATGAGCAAGACGAGGATGGAGAGGTGACAATCCATGTTGCTGGTGCACCGGGCAGTGAGAGGAGCATATCTCCACGAAGCATGCCACTGATGTGAGCGGGAGCGCTCTGATTGCTGGAGAAGTTACCATGCTCCGCTCGCAGTCTGATGTCAAGTTTGACACTGGAGATAAGGAGGAGTCTGGCTGCCTTTCCGCGAACCCCGCTCTGGGACTTCGCTGGGTCCTAGTGCCGTCGTAAAAGGACGCTGAAGAAGAGCAGGGCAGCCGGTGGCTGGCAGGCAGATTCCGTGCACCCAGTTGCGGAGGAAGGCAGTGGGTCGGAAGTCGAGGGTCTTGCCAATGGGTCAGGGAGGCTAGGATTTGTCCTAGGACAGCGATAGAGAGTCGTGGGAGCCATCCCGGTTTCACTGAAAGGCAGCTAGTTGTTTGCTATGCTTATCATTTCTCCGTTTCGGAAAGAGCCCCGATAGAGACACTGTGAGTTGAAAAGAAAGTAACGTTCCAAAAAAAAAAAAAAAACCTAGCAGTATTACTTTAAAAACGGGAGGTATTCGTTTAATGTTTATATAACGGCAAAGACCTTTGCAATTATCCCTTTACTGTGTTCAGTGTGATCACGCTTCTCTTCGTGGTTCCGCAAGACGAAAGTAGACACCCTAGGTCAGAAATTCTGTCCAGGCCACCACATGGCATCAGTCTGTTAAAGGGATTTGGCACAGCGATTTCAGCTCACCAGGGCACAGCTGGAGTCCGAACAGTGGGAAGTAACCTTCTCCCTCCTGGGACAGTAGCAATTCTAGCCAGTAGCATCCGGCCACCAATCACTCCATAGGGTGCTGGGATTGTAATATAAATCAAACTCCAAGTTCTGAACAATGAATGTCCCTGCCTACACTGTTCCGTGAGACTCAGAGCATACCTCACAACTTCCCGGTCAGCCTTCCAGCCACCACTAATATAGTAATATTTGAAGACTGCTCCTTAACATTGAAAATCCACTAGCTGCTAGACAATAATACCCTTACACTTTCCCACGTAGTGTGCAGTTTGGTTATTAACAATCTCAGGCTGAACAATCTAATTGCAATCTATTTCAACCACATACACTTTGCAATTCCAGATGAAAGATATTTCAATTATCTCTGAAATATGTCCCAGAAAGTGATTTCTCACCCACCCTCTTACCACCCATCCATCTCAGCCTATCCTGAAAAGAAACACGACAATTACCTCACACAGATCCACAAAGCAAACCTAGGTTGGCAGCATTAACAACAGTGCTCAATGTTTTAGCTGAGAAGGGAGACTGAGGAAGTTGTAAAAGGCCGCTTTATTAACATATTCATTTCCCAACACTGCACGTTCGGTGACACAGAATAATTTTCACGTGAATTTAGGCTAATGGCTTCTAATACTGTTTGTTGGCTGTTTGGATGGAGAAGGGTTGGGATGAAGAAGCCAGATGGAAGAGACGGGTCCTGCGATTGCACTCTTCCATGAGAGACTTATCTGTCTGCCTAACTCCTTCTCATAATGTGCCACCAGGGGCTGTAGAGCCCACCAGTGTTAAATCTGTCTCTGTTCAAATTAGAGAAACTGATTCAGAAACAGGGGTAAGGGGATCTTGTCACAATTTTTCCAGTTCCCCCACAAGTTACAAATGAATATGATTTTTTCCAGAAATTTGAAAGAAATGACATTAATTTCAGATTGCAGTTTCAAAGAATCTGGAAAGTTCATGGCGATATGCTCGTCCTGCATGAATGTGCATTGGCTTCCCTTTCCCTATGCCATTGCTTCTCTGTCACATCTAACCAACACTGATGACTGGGAAATGGACATTCATGTTTGAACAATGCTACAAGTAGGTTTTAAAAAATAATAGTTAAAACCAACGACTGGGCCAAGCCCATAATGTAAATGATACAGGGCTTCTTACCTGTATACTCCTGAGACCAAAAGACATCTGAAAATGAGTTTCTGGAGCTGAGGATGTAGCATGGTTGGTAGAGTATTTGCATGAGGCCCTGGATTCTAATCCAGAATTGCATAAACAGAGTGTATAATGCACCACTTGGGAGATGAAGGTAGGAAACTCAGAATTTTAAGGGATTTCCATCACACAGTCCACTAGAGGACATCCTGGGCTATATGAAACCTTGCCTCTAAAACTAAAAGAAAGAATGAATAAATGAAAGGAAGGAAAGGGAATAAAGGAAAAGTGCTCAAATCCTCACTACTGTTTTGGACAGATGTGAAAAAGAATCCAGCCAATAAACAGAAGAGCAATGAGTCTGGACACTGTAGGAGTGGAAGTACAGACATGAGGACAGTGGATTCTCGTCGAAAGGGAGAGGTAAAAGTGTAACTGTAAAGATGGGCTCAGAAGGCACTGTCGGTAAGCAGAAGGAGGACAGGCAAAATCAGAATAATGTCGCGCTGAAGGGAAAATACTTTATGTGCTTATGTGTGGCATAGAGCACTTTTTTGGGGGGAAGAGTATTAGCATCAGAGGACAGAAAGGAAGCCAGAGTGGATAGTGACTTTTTTTTTTTTTTTTTGGTTTTTCGAGACAGGGTTTCTCTGTGGCTTTGGAGCCTGTCCTGGAATTCGCTCTGTAGACCAGGCTGCTCTCGAACTCACAGAGATCCGCCTGCCTCTGCCTCCCGAGTGCTGGGATTAACGGCGTGCACCACCATCGCACGGCGGATAGTGACTTTTAAGGAAAATAATCTTCATAGGGCGGATTGAAAACTGCACAGAAATCTCCACACTATAGGTCAATGCCTTTGCAACCTAACCCAGACAAAAGAGAAAGAGCAAAACCAAAAACCTGAGAAATAAATTGATTCTGTCTGCATTTTAGGAAATTATTATAGTCAGAGGATAGGCCAGAGCATTGTCACGTGATGTTGAAGCGCCACCCGAGAATGATCACAGACAGGGGTTTTCTACCCACCAAAGACAGTGAGTGTGAACCAGGGACTGTGAGACCCAGGATTTTCCAACTGAACCACTGCTTGGTGAGAAACAGGAAAATCCCAAGAAATGACGCTTGCATCAGAAGTCATTTATAAAGTAAAACCAAGTGCAGGAGAGCATTAAGATCTATCGGGGAAAAATGAACATCTCCTGGGTGGGGAAGAAGCAACACTGATTTAGAAGGTAAAGGAACGTTCGTTCCTGAAAGAACTAGCAGTTGGGCCATATTTAGGAAAAGGAGTGCCGATAGATAATAAGGAAAATTCCTTTGGAAAAAAAAATGTGGCTGTAGAAAACAAAATTCTTGGAGGAACTGGAACTTCTTTTTTTAGAACATCTATGCTGAGGCGGCATCAGATGTTTGCGAGAGAAGAGAGAGAGGAGATCCTGAAAAACCCTGATCAAAATTTCTGAGAGCCCTTACATTGTGGGGTGAATTGGGATATAAGAGACAATTTACAAAATAGGGAAGTTGAGGCAAAAATAGCAATATCTGTAGCAAAAAGAGGTAATACACTAACACTCCTTGGTGCTGACTGACTTGGCTGACACTGTAGGTCTCCTGTGGATCTCTTCATCCAAACAAGTATACAAAGCAGTTGGTTTGGTTATACTGGCTTTTGGTGAGACTTTGGCACTAAGATATGCTATGTTTCAGGGATAGTGTGAGCATTATACAATATGTAGGATGCTATAGAGTAAGTGATATCATAGTATCTGACATACTAAAAATTTTATTACACTTCATGCAAAAAAAATCACTAACCAGAGTCTAGACTGTATGACACTAAGTAGTAGCAGAATTCAAGTCATACAAGCTTAGCTGGGCGCGCAAAGCTACAGAGAAACCCTGTTTCCAAAAAAACAAAAAACAAACAAAAAAGTCATACAAGCTTAGCTGGGCGGGCAAAGCTACAGAGAAACCCTGTTTCCAAAAAAACAAAAAACAAACAAAAAAGTCATACAAGCTTAACTGGGGAAACTGTCAAAACTTCACAGTAGTTCATTTTAAGAAATGATAAATACTGGTGTCTATGCATCCTCTAAATTCTTACTTGATGGAGTGCAAAAAAATGATTTGAGGATGGAAAATGGCAGAGATTGTTACGTTACATAAATCTTATTGGAATAATCCGAAGGAAAGTCAAGGTAAATCAACTATCAGGAGACAAAGAATTTACCTGGGATGTTTTTATTGTTATTATTATTATTATTACTATTATTATTTATTTTGGATTTTTGAGACATGGTTTCTGTGTGTTGCTTTGGAGCCTGTTTTGGAACTAGCTCTTGTAGACGAGGCTGGCCGTGGATCACAGGGATCCTCCTGCCCCAAGTGCTGGGATGTTCTGTTAGAGATTATGTGCATATAAAGGTATCTAGGTACTTGTGAGTAAGAAAACTGAAGGTAGGGAGCTCAGTTAGCCGAGTATGAAACTGGGGCACATGCCAGTATCTAACATTTTGAGAAAGAAATGGAGGACAAGGGGCTAGATGAAATGAGCTCGTTAGAAGACTGGAATAGTCTGGAGAGTTCTCACAGGCATGCGCTGTCAGTAGCTTTGCATATGCAAATGCCAGTAGGATCCTTATGGATGAGTGAATTCTGGCTGCAATAAATTTTATGATAAACCCTTTCCGCTGTCCTGCACACTGCTACTGTGGCCAGTCACTGTCGTCCTCTGATTAATGACTCTCCTTTTCAGATATACACGGAATAATGCTGAGATTATGGTGACTCCTATTGGCTGATATCTCTTAGCCTAACATGTACAGTTGAGACATCCTATGTTGTGTGTATTTTGACTCAAGGACTAGTACTGCTTTTTACTTATCTTGACACTTGTAACATCTCTTTCGTAGAGAAAGACTTTCCCCTTTCTCCTTTTTAACAATCTTAGACATTTCATTTGCTCTTAGTTTTCACACATGCACACACACACATGCACACATGCACCACATATTTGAACTACAATGTTATATCCAACATATGTACAGTAATCAATATAGGCTACTTAAAATTTCCATCTTTTTATTTGTAATCATTTGTTGCAAACCTTCACATTATTTTCTGACAATTAGTTGTCATGTGCTGGACTTAACCTGTTGTATATTAGAATTCCTTCACCCTCTGTCTTCTGGTTCTCATTATGTGCCTTCT